CACGTAACCTATGCACACGTAACCTATGCACACGTAACCTATGCACACGTAACCTATGCACACGTAACCTATGCACACGTAACGTATGCACACGTAACCTATGCACATGTAACCTATGCGCACGTAACCTATGCACACGTAACCTATGCACACGTAACCTATGCACACGTAATCTATGCACACGTAACCTATGCACACGTAACGTATGCTCACGTAACCTATGCCCATGTAACTTATGCCCACATAATATGTGCACACGTAACCTATGCACACATAATCTATGCACACGTAACTTATGCACCTATAACTGTAGCCACACTTATGTCGGTCATGCAACTGGAAGCAACTGATAGCGCGTGATGTTTTGGCGACAAGGAACGACAAGCGGCGTCTCTGAGCGTGCGCTCTTGCGGACACAAATTCTTGCTGACATAAGCGTGGCTGCTTCCTTCCGTATCCCTGCTTGCTGAAACATGACTACTTGCTGCGAGTAGCACACGTTCTGCTAGCTTTGCGACTACTAGTCGTGTGTTCGGATGCGGCTGTCGCTGCGAATGTAAGCGAGTTACTAGATCTCATTGTCGACGCAGCCATGGCGTGTATAATGTGCATGTCTGCTATCATCGGTCGATCGATGTGATTTCACAATATAATTTCAGATACGAGTGAGTCGGGTTCACAGACGCCAACGCTGGTGCTGCCCTCTATAGTGAGCGACAGATTCTGTGGCATTCTTACGCTCGTCAAACAACAAAAGGTTTCCCGTCTGCATTTATTCTCTTCTCGTAAAACTGCTTCTATCGAAAACTCGATTTTCCAGTTAAGGTTGTGGTGACTCGAATGACTTTCATAGCAAAAATTCAGGTATCGTGCCAAGTATTTATTTATACTTGCCAATATTAGACATAACAATTATTACGATTTTAGAAATGCGTTTCATCCAGATTTACTTTGTACGATTTTTTTCGTTCAGGCATGTGATAAACTTGCGCCGCGACGCTACAAGAAAGGCGGCACTATCAATGTGGATGCAAACATTGTGGAAGAAGTCGTTGATGAACAGGTATGATGTGAGCACGTTGTGTGTGAGGATGAAGATCGGCTATCATCGGCAAGCAAGGAATGTAGGAGGCGTGACAATTTACATTTTGCATATTTGTAAAGTTTAATATTTTACACTTTAATGCATAATAGAATGTATGATGTTCTGTAATCTGTAATGTTCATCTGGCTTCCACAGGTCCTTCAGGAAGCGTTGAGAACTCTCTTTCAACGCTGCATTGTCGAATCCAACCAAGAGATTCTCCACATTGTTTACCAGGTAGGGGAAAAAAATGATGATCATAATATCGTATTTCGTCTTTCATTCAATACACTGTTCGTGTTTTTGACGAGCTAAAGAAATGTAGTGATGTCTTGAATATTGTAGTGCGTGTTTTTCGCCACGCGCCCTCCCGTATGTGACGTGAGTATATACACATATAACGTATATCGTGTATTTCGTCGCACGTTTTAGACATGGTGTGCAGTCCTCGAGAGGGCGCCACAGGAGGCGGTGGCGGCGGCCGCGTGTCCGTGGATCAACGTCTGGCTGTGTCTGATGATGCAGCCGGCGAAGGTAGCGATCGATCACAGCCTCGTGATTGTCGCGCGCACACAACCTGTGAGTAACCAGTCGCGCCACACTATATATACAGCTAATAGACTGACCGTTGATACGTGTAAACTATAGATGCTATTGAGGCAGTACGTGGTGTGTGACGGCAGTGAAGGTAGTAGCGCTTGTTCACAAGCTTGTACACTGCACAGAGCAATATACAGCTAAGAGACTGACCGTTGATACGTGTAAGCTATAGATGCTACCAAGGCAGTATGTAATGGGGAAAAGGTGGTGGCAGCAGGTTTATCACCGTGAAAGTTGTCTGTAAATAATTTTATGAAAGCGACGAGAATTGAATAGTCATGTCGCAGTTACCGCAAAATATAACCAATGTGTGCCTCACCGATTATTTAAGGAATATATTAATTTATTATTGAAAAATTATTTATTATTTATTAATGATTATTTAGTTATAATTCAGCATGTGCTGCATTTCTGCAGGAGAGGTCAGGGAAGGTGAAACCCACAGCGGCGGATCCGGTGGTGGCCGTAGAAGATGACCGGGATTACATTGGTGGGAAGCTCACCCTGACCGCGTCGCCTACTGACCACGACGCGGGCGTGGTGCGAGCGCGATCGTACGCCGCAAAGTACGTGAGGTCGCAAGTTGACGCTGACGCAGTCGTTGAGACGGTTGAGTCGCGTCGGCTGTGAACTGTGTGGTGGGGTCACGAAGAGTTACTGACGTTTGATTCATGCGTAGAGATATGCCGAAATAAAAGCACTGTGTTACGGTCGTTACGTGACGAGGGGGAAGAGCAATATTGACGTTAACCCCATTTTGAAAACCCATATCCTGTATCGCCTCCATTCGTTTCTAGTTTCTGGGCAAGCAATGTGAGATCTATATTTGATGGAGCGATGTCTCTGAATGAACTGAGTTCTTCACTTTGTTCCTACGCTATCTCGTACCTCACATCTGAGATAACCCCTGCCTCGGGTGTCTCGGTCACCGCTTCCTGTCTCGACTGCGTCTCGTGTATCATGTCTGTCTCACCGTCTGCCTCAGATGCCTGGGTAAGCTAGCTATGATAGTGACAGCTCCGCAGGCCAGCTATCCGGAGGGAGTGGAGACTCCCCTTGAGGGTTTCTGCAAACTCATCTGCTTTCACCTCAACTCTAAGTCGGCGACGCAGAGACTGTGCACGGCCCTGCTCGTCTCCGAGTGGTCGCAAGCAGATGCGGTAAGTCCACGGATCTATGCATAGTAACTGCGTAGCGCATTATCCCATCATCGCAATGCTAGCAGGTCAGGTCACCAGGCCGCCATCTTGTTCGACTGAGAATCGGGTTTATCGTGATCATTTTTTTAAATATAACAATGAGTGTTGGAATGATGTCTAACTTCCTCATTATTAACCCCTGCTAAGAACTTTAGGGCTGACCAGTATGGTGGTCCAATGAGGTCACACAAGATGCACAATGCTCTATCTGGATATTCCATATAGAGCAGTGAGTAATTTATAGAGCCCTTCTGGCATCCCTGTTGCACTGGTAAGAGTTTCGTTTGTGTATAGACATGCAGTGTAGCAACCGTCTAACTTGGAGGTACTCGGGCATAAGAGGAGGAAGATGCTAGAGGTGTAAACTCCCCAGGCGATGCTATGGGAGCAATGGCTATGTGCTATGGCTATGCCCACACTGTCCGAACATGCTTAATTGCACGGCTCTACCAGAATTTGCGTTACCGTCGTCACGCAGCTGCTGTCTGACACCGCTGTTCACTTGTCTCGGCAGACGCTGACATTGCCGGACGCCATCACTGTGAAGCTGCGTGAGAGCGTTAACGAGTCTGTGTACTTTGACGAGATAGCGCCGTTGTTCACGCGCATGCAGGCCGAGGCAAAGGACCTGGTTGCCACTCTCACCAAGAACAATGCTGAGCTCGACGCTAGCTACACGGGGTACCGCTACTATTGCTCATAGACGTAGCTGTGTGTGTGTGTGTGTGTGTCTGTAACTGTACCATACGCTACTTGCTGCCATTTGTGGTATCATAGTAGTTATAATAGTAGGCATCAGTAGTAGTATTTTAGTGTATTATAGTAGTTGCTATAGCGTACAATAAGATACTAACACGTAGTCACTCATTGGATGCATTCTTTGTATCAGTAGTGTAGTAGTATGTTTATTGTACATATCTACAAATTTAATAAACTTCCGCTCGCTTGTTGTGTGTATTTGTAGCACCTTACATCTCACATACTAACTTTCGTATAAATTATCAGTACTACCACAAACGTATAGGTATACTCCAGGTACATAGGTGCAATCAATATACATAGGTTCCTGCTATTGTAAACGTGGTGCTGCTATATTATATTCATCGCAAGTATTCATTGCTAGATTACATTGTAAACACATCCATCTCTTTAAGTGGATGATGGCCAATTCAGCTTAACTGCAAATGGTACAGATGCCATGCAAACGGTACGTAACACATTGGACGACACTGGTGAAGGATGATCTATTTGCTATGGAAACACTCATGGGCGAGGGGTTGATTACTGGGAGAACACACAAAAGGTTGGCTCAAATACTACGTGGCAACACTAGAGGCTAGATTTAATAATTGAAACAGAAGTGGGATTTCCATGTGATTACTTAAGGATACTCTCCACGTTGTGCACGGGTAATGCTCTAGTGAAGATTAAACGTTTATTGGCAAATGAATCGAATCAATCACTTGTTTTATTTATAGAGGAGATATATCTCTATGGTCAAGCCAAAAATTTTTTAGGAAATTTCCAGCACCTAATTATGTTACCACACAAATTTTGAATTTTCATGTAAAAATGGTATTTTGGATATTTCTCAACTACCAGAAAGAGTGAGAATACAAAATTTTTGCCACGTGTTTAGCACAATATGGACCAAAATAGTGCGTCAGGATTTTTCTTTAATTTTCATATTTACCGAGAAGACTGGAAAAAACAAGTTGTGTTAAAATAGAAAATTTTAGTGAATAAAGAGGCATAACTAATAAAGTACGGCACTTAATAACAATCCCCAACGCACTTCTTTACCACAATATGTTACCATTAAAACGAGTGTAAAATTAAATTAATCCGAGTTGTAATCACAGAGAAATATCCATTTATACATCGGCTACTATGTCAGAAATCGAAACGGAGAAATGAGGGTTTTTCTATTTTTCACAATGAGTGACCGCCTGTGTGCAAAATGGGTGAACGTATGTGATATATCTATTGTACTAAGCATTGTTTTTAGAGTGTTTAATTGCAATATTGATTGGTGTGTGAATTGCATGAGTAGGTCCACTGTCTGTGCTATCTGTGTGACATTGCTGTGTTGCCACTGAGCTGGTGTAGGTTCTCAGCCATGTATTTGTGACTGCAGCAGAAACAAATGGCTACTCAGCGCCGTGGAGCACAATTCGGACTCTCCTCCATGGCTCAGTATTTCGGTGCTGCCCTCTTTGATAAGCTTCCCGTTCTATGGGAAGCTATCAACCATTGCTCACTCACTCAGGTAACTTGCTTTAGATAAAAAGTTATTTCAGATTTAGGATGCTTACGCATTATATGTAGACTGTCTATGCAAAGTCATCGTGGATTTCAAATATATGGTTAACATATAGCAAGGTGTGCAACTGTTTGCATTTTATTTCCATCAGGTGGCAGCATCGTCCAGTCAGAATGGGCTTTCAGGTGGTGAGGAACAAGCACGCGAGCTTGCAAACTCTCTACATGTACTGGAGACTGTGGGACCTGCCCTCCATCCACAGCTACATGACAAAGTAATTGCCTCATCTTAGATGAATGTCAGTGAAAAACTTGTCACAGTGTGCCATATGTGACACGAAGACTTTGATCAGTCTTCCACGATGTGACATCATAACAGAAAAGTTGTTACAAGCGATCGCTGACCAAACGCCACATTTAACATCTAAGGTGTAATAAGGCAAATAACGTAATAGGGCTGAGCCAATGTGTGAGATCTTACTCGAAAAACTGCTTCTTTTAAAAACAAGAGGTTACACAGCCAAACCTCTTTTAGCGTTAGCACTCACCACTACAGAATAAACACGGGTTCATAAAGGACACTTTGCATTTCCCTTTTACACCCTTACATACAATTTTCACTGTACTCGGTGATTACTAATCGTGTAAGGTAGGAGTGTATGTAATGTAATTACAGTACACAATCTATTATTTGAAACCCTTGGGACCAGACACGTTTCAGAATTCGGAATGGTAGTACAGTACATATATACATACCGTATATCCTGCAACTAGCCAGTACTAAAACCCAAGTTTTCAAGAGGCCAAGTGATGTAGCGGTACAGTACAATATGTACGAGTAGTGGCAAACACATTAATATTCGTCGGGTCCAGTTTTGGCGCCAAACGCGAGCTTTGGTGTGCAGACGACCTCCACGAAAAAACTTTCGGTTTTCGGAGCTTTTCGGTTTTCAGAATTTCGGATAATAGATTGTGTATTGTAGTATGTAAGGTAGTGGTGGGAGCCTGGTGATGTGTAGTAATGAGTGTGGTTTCGGTGTGTGTGCGCAGCTGCTGGGACTGAGCCTACGCGTGTGCGACTGCCTGCGCGATCGCTTCACGGCGGTGCGGCACCGCGCCGCACGCTGCCTCGCCATGCTCGCAAAGGTCTGCGGCCTGCCCGCCATGACGGTCGTGCTGGAGCAGGTGCTGCCTCTGCTGGGCGCGACGGACAGCGACGTCTGTCGACAGGGCGCCGTGGAAGCGCTGGCGAGTATCCTTTATACGATCACGCCCTTATACGACCACATGCTTATAGGGCCATGCCCTTATAGGGCCATGCCATTATACGACCACGCCCTTATATGATCACACCCTTATATGATCACGCCCTTATACGACCACATGCTTATAGGGCCATGCCCTTATAGGGCCATGCCATTATAGGGCCATGCCATTATACCGTTACACGCCCTTGTACGATCACGCCCTTATACAATCACGCCCCTATACGTTGATTTTATGATGATAAGCGTACCTTCTGATGATATATTAGCTAATATATGATGATAATATTCATGATTCATGATGAAAGGAATATTATGTTATATTAATATAATGATGATTATTCATTGTGTATGGTACATGAAGTTCTCAGCAAATAATGTTGGCAATTTGTGAAGGCCTTGCCACTCAGAAAATCTGCAAGAAGATCTGCTAGTGTTTTAGTGTCTGTAACACTGACAACGTGGTAAAAGTAACGATGACGATATAGACAGTGTTTCCTGAACGCCGTTGCCAGATGTGATCGAACTGCTGGACTTTGAAATAGTGCCTTACATCGTGTTGCTGGTGCTGCCCGTGCTGGGCCGCATCAGTGACCACAACGAGAACATTCGGCTGATGGCCACACAGTGCTTTGCTTCTCTCATACGTCTCATGCCACTCGAGGTAAGCTAATGGCAGGCTTGCATTCTATTCACTCATCCATCTCTTTAAGTGGATGGCAGGCCTGCATTCTTTCTATTCACTCATCCATCTCTTTAAGTGGATGGCAGGCCTGCATTCTTTCTATTCACGCATCCATCTCTTTAAGTGGATGGCAGGCCTGCATTCTTTCTATTCACGCATCCATCTCTTTAAGTGGATGGCAGGCCTGCATTCTTTCTATTCACGCATCCATCTCTTTAAGTGGATGGCAGGCCTGCATTCTTTCTATTCACGCATCCATCTCTTTAAGTGGATGATGGCCAATTCAGCTTAACTGCGGATGGTACAGATGCCATGCAAACGGTACGTAACACATTGGACGACACTGGTGAAGGATGATCTATTTGCTATGGAAACACTCATGGGCGAGGGGTTGATTACTGAGAGAACACACAAATGGTTGGCTCAAATACTACGTGGCAACACTAGAGGCTAGATTTAATAATTGAAACAGAAGTGGGATTTCCATGTGATTACTTAAGGATACTCTCCACGTTGTGCACGGGTATTGCTCTAGTGAAGATTAAACGTTTATTGGAAAATGAATCGAATCAATCACTTGTTTTATTTATAGAGGAGATATATCTCTATGGTCAAGCCAAAAAAATTTCATCAAATTTCCAGCACCTAATTATGTTACCACACAAATTTTGAATTTTTATGTAAAAATGGTATTTTGGATATTTCTCAACTACCAGAAAGAGTGAGAATACAATATTTGTGCCATTTATACAGAAATATCCATTTATACATCGGCTACTATGTCAGAAATCGAAACGGAGAAATGAGGGTTTTTCTATTTTTCACAATGAGTGACCGCCTCTGTGCAAAATGGGTGAACGTATGTGATATATCTATTGTTAGTACTTACTGCGACATATCCATGACTAACTGACACCACTAAATTGGTAAAATGTTCCATGCACCTTGAGAAATTCTGAGAAATTTTGAGGTTACCATCGCAGAACGCGCGAACTCCGCTCATCCTGATGTCACAAAGCTAATATGTCAACAAACGCGCTGTGTACTGCACTACACTAAGGTGTGTTGCCAGGTGTTAGAACTATTTTGGGCGTGGGATACTTGTTGGATCACTAGCAGATGTACATGAATGTACATCAATACATGTAATGACAGCTGTAGCAGGGTTGACGCTGAATGATACTGGCTAAGTTAATATCGTGGTTGTATCATGTCTCTGACGTCAGCCGCTGCTTACTACACATGTACGCGGGCAAGCAAAAACGCTCTGACGGTTCACATGTACCGTTATATGGAGAAATGAGCATGTACACAGGTGGCACATAATGTTAGCCATCGAATAAAGTTGAAAACGAAAAATCAATGAAATTTCATGCACAACGTGGAGAGTATCCTTAAAGATAAGAGGCTAAAGAACGTAAAAGAATACATAAAAGGTTGATTTAATTAGCGAAAGAACACTAATTAACAACAAACAACCAAAGGGAGACTGAATCCAAGTACTGGAGAAACATCATAGAAACCTGGATATAATTATTAGGAGAACACGGGAAGAGAAGCTTGAGCTAATAAAGGATTCAAGACAGGAACGTCGAGATTCTTGTAATGATGGTTATGCTACAATCATGAAATGCATTGAAGATGTATTGTTTGATGTATCACACGCATGCATGCACACACTCACACAGACACTGCATTGATTTATATTGACAAAGTTTCTATATTTTCACAAATGAGAACATAATTGTACATACAATGTCATTACAGAGTAAACAAAGTATTTACAAGACAGCAGTAGAAATCCTGTACATATATAACCCACCAACCCATATCCAGCCGATCTCACATAATCCTTGTTGCCGACATGTTTGTATACCGCCAAGATTGCTCCATAATTTAATGATCATGATTAAATGTTAACCCAGCGACTTCCGCTTTGCTAACTTATCCCTCACTAAACTGTTCACGAATCCAGTAAGTATAATCCATTTAATAGCAACTTGCTTGTCACCGGCATAGTCTTTATCCCTCTCGCTAAACTGTTCACTAATCCAGTGAGCATCATCCATTCAAACCACTTAATCGGCAAGCATAATCCAGTTAATAGCAACTTGCTTGTCACCGGCATAGTCTTTATCCCTCTCGCTAAACTGTTCACTAATCCAGCGAGCATAATTCACCACTAATCTAGTGAGCATAATCCTGGCTAATCCAGCCACTTCCATGTCGCCAGCATCGTGTTAATCCCTCCTTACAATGTTCACTAATCCAGCACGCGTAATCCGGCTAATCCAGCCACTTGCGCGTCGCCAGCATCGTGTTAATCTCCCAGATGATGTCTCGCAGATAGTTGATCACCTCCTTGATCTGTCGATTCTTGGCAGTCAGCTGAGCGACGATCTCCTTGTAGTCCTCGCTCTGGTACTTGACGATGTCGCTGACCGGCCGCTCCTCGGGCCGCTGCTGCTCCTCGTCGCGCAGCGGCACGAACGTCTCGATGTCCGTGAAGTCGGCCTGCTCGTTGCACTTGTCATAGATCGCGCGCAGCTTGCGAAAGTACAGGCTCACCTGCTTCAGCTGCTCGGGCTTCAGCTTGGCGAGCCGCTCCTGCGCCTGCTGGCTGCGCACGGTGTCGGAGCCCGTCGGCAGCTGCATCGTGCGCAGCAGCTGGAAGATCTCGTGCGTGCGCGTGACGATGTCCTGGACCATCTCCTGGCCCATGCGACACAGCCACGCCGTGTTGTGCGCGGGCGACGCCGATGCCTGCGGTGCTGCCGCCTGCCGGCCCGCGGCCGCTGCGCCGTCGCCTGCGAACACGGTGGGATGGCAGGGCATGATATTTATGCTGCGGTCGCAGTGTGATATAATAGTTAATACGCGACCACTTACACAAAGATATTTTACATTTTGTTTAAAATTTCGAATAAGATTGCTTGTGAAACTTTTATGGGTGGAACATCAAAATATGTCAATTACGACTTATTATTCTGGTTAATTTTTTAATGGAACCTAGTCATTGACATTGGTATACAGATATTTTAATATAAAAAGAATTTAGTTATAAATAATTAAATAATAATAAAACGTACCTGATTGACTGATGGTTCCAGGAGTCTGTGATTGTGGAGGACTATGAAACCCCGGCGATACGACAGAGTGTGCTTGTATGGTCGTCGTTGGTACCTGCTGTTGTTGTTGCTGCTGCTGGGGCGGCTGCTGTTGTTGTTGCTCACCCATGTTATACATTTGCTGCATCTGCTGTAGCTGACTCTGATGTCCTGGCCCCGCGTGGCCTGCCATCTGTCAATTAGAGTAACACCTAACACTCCTTCACTGTTTACCTATTTGCCTCAGTAATGTGTAAGCCGGTGAAATATACAGATATACAGTAATAATACACAAACTTCGACGAATTTTTGTGAAACAAGCGACTATTCCTCGAATAGCGCCACCTGTCGGTACTAAAACAAATATTCGGTAACAAATCATTATGATTTGTCTTTTTAGGTATACTTCATTATTCTCGACTGATCAATCAGTTACCTTGTATTTTTATATAGCTTGACGTTGTCTGAAAATGATATGACTTGAACCTCATTCTGCTAACCCCATCCAAGTGCCTTGGTTTCCTTCCAATTGGATGTGGTGATTTAAAATCACTGTTTAAACCTATATATAACACCACTTACTTCCCCTGAAATAATTTTAACTTCAGCCCCAGATAAACGTTAACTTAATAATTTAATTTAATTTAATTTAGATAATTTGAACTTCAGCCCCAGATATTTCTCTGCGTGTGTTATAGTCGGGCATAGTGGATCCGCCGGAGTTGAAGCCGTGCCTGGTAGAGCAGAAGGCTCGGCAGCGATGCTTCATGCAGCAGCTACTAGACAGCAACAAGGCGGACGACTACAAGGTTCCCGTGCCAATACACGCTGAGCTGCGCAAATACCAGCAGGTATGCTGACTGATGGGGGAAGGTCGGATGATGCGGGAAGGATTGATGGAGGAAGGTGGGGTGCTGGGGGAAGGTGGGGTGATGGGGGAAGGTTGACAGAGGAAGGTGGGGTGCTGGGGGAAGGTGGGGTGATGGAGGAAGGTGGGTGATGGGGGAAGGTCGGGTGATGGGGGAAGGTTGGGTGATGGGGGAATGTAGGGTGATGGAGGAAGGTAGGGTGCTGGGGAAGGTGGGGTGATGGGGGAAGGTGGGGTGATGGGGGAAGGTGGGGTGATGGGGGAAGGTGGGGTGATGGAGGAAGGTGGGGTGATGGGGGAAGGTTCGGATGATGGGGAAGGTTAGGGTGATGGAGAAGGTGGCCGGTGATGGGGAAGGTGGGGTGATGGCGGGGAAGGTAGCGTTTTATGGGGGAAGGTGGGTGATGGGGAAGGTGGCGGTGCTGGAGGGAAGTGGGGTTATGGGGGCAAGGTGGGGGTGCTGGCGGAAGTTGGGTGATGGGGGAGGTTCGAGATGAATGGGGGAAGGTAGGGTGATGGGGGATAGGGTGGGGATGGGGGAAGGTTGGGTGATGGGGGCAAGGTTGTGATGGAGGAAGGTAGCCTATGGAGGAATGTGGGGTGAAGTGGGGTGATGGGGAAGTGGGGGGTGATGGCGGGAAGGTCGAAGTGATGGGGGAAAAGGTAGCCTGGTGGAAAGGAACAGGTGGGTGATGGGATAGTGGGTGGTGGCGGAAAGTGGAAAGGTTTGATGGGGGGATACGTGAGGAAGGATTAGATTGGCATATAGGGGAAGTGGTTGAGCAATAGTGAGAAGTGAGGAGTAGAAGCTGCTAATCCTGGGAAATGTTGAGGGTGCTAGAGGAGGCGTGGGGAGATGTCGAGTAAGATGAGAGCTTGAGAGAGATGGCTGGCAGGTGGGAGTGATATCGGAGGGGTGATAGGTGAAAGAGGCGGTAGGCCATCTCTGATATATGAGTGGGGGAATGACAGAAGTGAAGTTATTCAAGCATAAAATTTATTCGTATAATATTATAACCACGGTGAAAAAAATACTATATACTACTGGCTGCTACAGCTATATGAGAAGCGGTGGCTCGTGATTTCTTTAGGATGGCGGGAACTGCGCTTGGCATTCCTCAATAAGTACAAGCTTGATGGCATACGGTAGTGTGATGACATGGGTCTAGGCAAACTAACGCAGTCATCTGCATCTAGCTGAGGCGAATCATCACCTACGCGAAAAGACTACAAGGTGAGAAATGGCGTTAGGCGGCTAAGTTTTCATTTTTTACATAAATCTAAATTTTACTGATATGTTCGAGCCGACAGCAGTCGATGTGTCTTTGTCAAGGCGAATAAAATTGCTCTGAATAAGCTTCACTGTCAGTAGTTGTCAGTATGGTCTAGAGCAGCGTTCTAACTTGCTTCCTTGGTGTGGCTGGCAGAATAGTTAGTTCCAGTAGTTGTCGAGTTAGTAGCCGCGTTCTACCTGGCTTCCTTGTGCTGCTGCAGAATGCTTGTCAGTAGCTGTCAAGTAGGTCTAGTAGCCAGCGTTCTAACCTTGCCTTCCATCACTGCTGCAGAATAAGCCTGGTCAGTGTGTCCAGTAGTCTAGTAGCAGCTTCTAACCTGCTTTCTCACTGCTGCAGAATAAGTTGTCAGTAGCTGCTCGATAGTTCTAGTAGCAGCCGTTCTAACAACTTGCTCCTCACTGCTGCCAGGGATAAGCTTGTCAGTAGTTGTCAGTAGTCTAAGTAGCCGCGTTTCTAACTTTGCTTCCTTTGGCTGCTGCTGCAGAATAAGCTTGTCGTAGCTCTCAGTAGTCTTAGGGAGCCAGCGTTTTCTAACCTTGCTTCCTTTGCGGCCTGCTGCAGAATAAGCTTGTTCAAGTGGTTGTTCAGTAGTACTAGTAGCCAGCGTTCTAACCTTGACTTCCTCACTGCTGCGCAGTAATAACGCTTGTCAGTAGCTGTCAGTGTCTAGTAGCAGCGTTTACCTGCCTTCCTCACTGCTGCTGCAGAAATCAGCATTGTTCACATAGTTGATCAGAGTCTGTAGCCAGCGTTCTAACCTTGCTTCCTGTTGCTGCTGCCTGCAGAATAGCTTCGTCAGCTAGTTGTCAAGTTAGTCTAGTAGCCAGCGTATATAACCTTGCTTCCTGTGCTGCTGCCAGAATAAGCTTGTCAGATAGTTGTGTCACTGTAGTCTGTAGCAGGTTCTAACCTTAGCTTCCTCACTGCAGCGCAGAATAAGCTTGGTCGTGCTGTCATAGTCTGAGTAGGCCAGGCCGTTTAACCTTGCTTCTTGCTGCTGCGGCAGAATAAGCCTTGTCAGTAGCTGTCAGTAGTCTAGTAGCCAGCGTTCTTACCTTGCTTCCTCACTGCATGACAGAATAGCTTGTCAGTAGCCCTGTCAGTAGTCTAGCTAGCCACGTTCTAACTTGCTTCCTCACTGCTGCATTGCCAGAATACTTGCAGTTAGTTGTCAGTAGTCTAGTAGCCACGCGTTTCTAACTGCTTCCTTGTTGCTGTGCAGGAATAGCTGTCAGTAGCTGTCAGTAGTTCTAGTAGACAGCGTTCTAACCCTGCTTCCTCACTGCTGCAGAATAAGCTTGTCACTAGTTGCAGTAGTCTAGTAGCAGCGTTCTACTTGCACTTCCACGTGTGCTGCAGAAATAAGCTGTCAGTACGTCTGTCAGTAGTCTAGTAGCCAGCGTTCTAACCTTGCTTCCTTGCTGCTGCTGCAGATTAAGTTGTCCAGTTAGTTGTCAGAGTCTAGTATCAGCGTTCTAACTTGCTTCCTTGCTGCTGCTGACAGATAAGCTTTGTCAGTCAGTTGTCACAGTCTAGTAGCCAGCCGTTCTACTTGCTTCCTCACTGCTGCTGCAGAAATAAGCTTGTCAGCTAATGCTGTCAGTAGTCTAGTAGCCAGACCGTTCTAACCTTGTCCTCACTGCTGCCCACAATAGTTGTCAGTCAGTTGCAGTAGTCTGTAGCCAGCGTTCTAACCCTGCTTCCTCACTGCCTGACCTGCCAGAATAGCTATCAGTAGTTGTCATTTAGTTCTAGTAGCCCAGCGATATCTACCTTGCGTTTCCTTTGCTGCTGCCTGCAGAATAAAGCTTGTCAGTAGTTGTCAGAGTCTAGTAGCCAGCTTCTAGACCCTGCTTCCTCACTGCTGCTGCAGATAAGCTAGTCAGTAGTTGTCAGTACTCTAGTAACCAAGAGTTCTAACCTTGCTTCTTGCCTGCTGCTGCAGAATAAGCTTGTCAGCTAGTTCTCAGTTAGTCTAGGTAGCCAGGCGTTCTACCCTGCTTCCTGAACTGCTGCAGAATAAGCTGTCAGTTAGCTGTCAGTAGTCTAGCTAGCGCAGCTTCTACCTGCTTCCTCACTGCTGCAGGAATAAGCTTGTCAGATAGTTGTCAGTAGCTATGTAGCCAGGTTCTACCTTGTTCCTGCTGCTTGCTGCCCAGAATAAGGCTTGTCAGTATTGTCAGTAGCATCTAGTTCCAGCCGTTCTAACTTGCTTCCTTGCTGCTGAGCTGCAGAAATAAAGTTGTCAGTTGAGTTGTCATAGTAGTTAGTAGCCCAGACGTGTCTACACTTGGTTCCTCCACTGCTGTGACCAGAATAAGCTTGTCAGTAAGCATGCTTCAGTAGTCTAAGTAGCCAGCGTTCTAACCTTGTTCCTTGCTGCTGCCTTGCAGATAAGCTTGTCAGTAGTTCACGTAGTCTAGTAGCCAGCGTGCTAACCTTGCTTCCTTGCTGCTGCTGCAGCAGAATAAGCTTTGTCGAGTTTAGCTGTCAGCTAGGTCTTAGTAGGCCAGCGTTCTAACTTGCGTCGCTCACTTGACTGCTGGCCTTGTACAGGAGACAGGGGAGCGCGACGCAGTGCCAGCTTCCCTCGCAATCGTCGTCTGTCGCCGCGCTGACCTGTCACTGAGGTGTACGAGATCACAGAATGTTTGTCGCCTGCCAGTACCTGAATCACGCTGCACTTTACTCACCGCGGGGCCGCCGTGGAGAGCGCGTCTCACAGCCTCAGCTGACGACGCCAGCAACCTCGTCATGCACTGCGTACGACATCGTGCGCAACGACATCGCCTTGCTTCAGCCTGAGTCGCACGCCGGATCTCGAAATTTGATGATGACGGTGGTGCCATCTTCGTGAGAAAACATTTGTTTTTTCTTTATGAAATTCTGGGAACGTGAGACAATCTCGATGTGGAAATTGGAGATCACGAGACTAAAAAAAGGGAGTAGAACCCGATTTTTTGTTAAATGTGTAAAATAAGAGAATTTATACATCGCCATTATGATTTCAATAGTTATGTATCCATGACCATGGATATGATATCATACCATTGCACTGTTATTATACAATTGCCTTTGCAAGATATTTTACCAAACCATTTGCACAGTGATATACCAGGAGTTGTAAATAAATATCGTATTAGCTATAGCTCTATAGTGTATAATATTCTATATTATTCACTCTTCGATATTACTCATAGCATTGCCCACATGATGTTCGTCGCATCACTGCATGACCAGACCTATCGTGTCTGCACGGCAGTGGTGAGAGTGGAACTACTGCATCCCTGGACGTAGGGCACACTCATCAGACACGCAAGACCGAAGATCTCGAATGGCCGTGAAGCAAGCTGCAGGGCGTTGCCACACGCCTCATCCTCAGCGCGACGTCCGGAAAGACACAACCGTGGCTGAGCTGTGGTTCAGTGATGTCGATTCCTATGCCGGCCTTGCTCAGGCAGCGCACAGCGCGCGTTCACGGCACGCTCAACGGAGACGCCCCATCTACAGCAGCCGCGACCCGCGAAGGCTCCATGAAAGAATCAGGAAGCAGTAGCAGAGAGAGGAATGGAGATGCCACGTAGGGGGGGGGGGTGGTAGATGAGAGAGTGTAGTGGATCGGGTAGGTGGGGAGGAGGGGATGGCAGGGTGATAGGGACGGTAGAGACAGCTAGGGGTTAGAAGTAGTGCGGGGAAGGATGGGTCTGAGGGAAGAAGGCAGGGAGATGGGGAACTGCATAGCCGATAAGAGAGGTAGGGTGTGATGGAGGAAGGCGGATGATTGGGAGAAGATTGGTATGCAGGTCTCAGTGTGCCTAACAGATGGTAGGGGCGGTCATTGCGTATTCAAATATTTCGATTCGAATTTATTGATATGTTTTTTTAGATATTTCTATACCGATTCGATACCGATTGATTTAATGATGTAATCGACTGGTGGGGATACCATAATAAACTCTATTCGAACCCCTGCCAATACTACCGAAATATGATACAGAGCCGTGAAAGTACAGAACACTCATACATAATGCAAATTTAACTATGCATTTTATTAACATCGCTGCTGCTTAAATGAACTATGGCGAAGTATAATTTAACCCTGAATTCAACCAGATTGACCTAGCGTTGCGCGCATGGGAGCAGCAGACATGCTTTAATCGGTAGACAGATTTTATATAGAGAAATCAGTGAGGACAGGATACGCCATCAGAACACACTAGAATACCACAGTTATTGATTGTCTCTGTTGCATGCCCCGCCACTACTTCCGAAATGGCGAGTGCTCATTTCAAAATGCTACGATGCTTCGCCTAGGCTACATTTTTAGCCACAAAAAGTAATAAGTACACTCTTACCAGAAAAAGATCCAACTCTTATATTGCTTTAGAATATTACGTATCGGACATCGCTATTTTTCAGATTTATTTTCGATATCGATATCGGATGCAAAGTCCATCGCCGATAGTTATCAATGAGAGGCGTATTTGATGACAGTCCTAAACAGATGCGCCACGTCTGTGCCACCAGGTGTGCTTGCAGATGGAGCTGATGCATCGACAGGTGCTGCCGTCTTGCTGCGTCGACATGCAAGGACGACGTTCTACAGGACCATGCTCCAAAATTAGGCAGGGATTACTACGTCGAGCTGAGACCCCTACAGAGTAGAGCTTGCTCCAATTATCTGCTTTCAGGGGCGAAAGCAGCAAACTCGGTGCTTAGCAGTGCAGCATCTAAATAATCATCACTATTCTGAAGCTCTGCCGGAATGCCTATGGCTTATTGCACACGATTTTACACTTCAGAAGGCAATGATATTTTTACGACGTTAAAAATGTAGGTTTAATTCGTAGACGACATTAAATACACTTTGTGTCCGTCAACGAGTGTCACCATCGGTGTGCACTGACACAAGTCAACATTGATCACCCTGGCCTGAACGAGACACGGGTGTACCCCTGGCCTGCACACGAAGTCAATGTTGTCGACCCCTCGGCATGACACAATGGATCAACATGGTCCAACCGTGAGGTCACCCCTGGCATGACACGAGTCAAGTGTGTCACGGCTGTGGCCTGGACACGAGTCAATGTTGTCACCCCTGGCCGAATTTTTCGCTGGA